AGCCAGCACGGCTGGCTGGGGAATTCTGGGAGTTGAAGTCCACACAGGTTAAAGTTGCTAGGGTTGAGCAACACTGTTCCATACAAAACAAAACTGAGGACTTGCAGAGCTGCTCTTGTTCAAACACCCTGCACAATGCAGGAACATGTATGTAAAACGCCTGGCAGCTGTTCGCCATTGAACGGTGCTACCCTGTCACGAATTCCCCCAGGTTCGTAGGGGAGAGATAAGGTCCTCTTGGCCACCGAGGTGGCCTCAAATGCAGGTTGGAGAAGTGTTATTCACAGCCAGGTGGCGGCTGCTGCCTCCATTACTCCCTCTGGGGTATTTGGGGAAGTCCTCAGTCTTGCAGAGGACGTAGCGGGAGAGGATCTTCCGGAAGGTGTGCCGGAAGTCCCGGATGCGATAGGCGTAAATGATGGGATTGACCACCGAGTTGGTGTGGGAGAGGATGATGGTCAGGTACATGATCCAGTCGGGCTTGCTCTCCGCAAAGCCTGGGTAGAACAGGGTGAGGCAATTGAGGATGTGGAGCGGCAACCAGCAGAGGGCAAAGAGGCCCACGATGATGGCCAGGGACTTGGCTGCACTGACCTCCTTCTGCAGGGTCATCCGGCAGTTCCCCACCAGCTCTATCTGCCGCAGCTGTTTGCAGGCAACCGTGAAGATCTTGACGTAGATGCCCAGCATGAGGAGGAGGGGGAGGAGGACGCATCCGAAGAAATTGAAGTAGACCATGTAACTCATGGGCACCACGTTCTCAAAGAGGCATTCCACCAGGCCGTTGGCCCGCCGCTCCCCATCGGGGGTCCCCGTCTTGTTGGTGCAGTTACGGCCCACTTCTTTCCAGCTGTTCCAACCCATCAGCGGCGTCAGGCCGATGCTGAACGAGAGGATCCAGAGGACCGCGATGAGCCCCCGGGCTCGCTTCCCTGTCACCAGGCTCTTGTATCTGCAAAAAAGAACAAGAAGGATGGGATCCACAGAAGAGGGACCGAGCCCACCTTGGTCTCTTGCGGTCGGGTGGTTAAGTGGTTCCAAGGGAAGATACGAGAGCGTGCAAGGAACTGGCCGCGTGGAAAGCACACCCCCTTGGGGTCTTCCCTCCAGCCAGGGAGCCAAGCAAACGCGCTTTCTCCTGCTTGTTAGGCGCCTCGCAACCCCTGCAGCATCAGCTCCTCAGACTTATTTGCATTCCTAGCTGCCTCAAGATCGCCATGCTTTTGAAGCCAAGGGAGCAGAATGAACACGGGCCCACAGAAGTTGACATGCACCAGTATCCCTTACTTTTGCAAGGACCGCCTAACTGTAATTTCAAATGTATATATCCCGGGGATGATATGTCCTGAAAGGTCTCTGTATGTCAGCCCCACGAGGTAGACCAACCCAGGAAATCAATCTCACAGGAAGGCTAAGACTACTTTTATTAAGACTACTTTTATTGAGATCGGCTGTAATAACAGAATTTTGCAAGTCTGATTGTGCTGTTCCCCCCCCCCCACATACAGTACTCCAGTGAATTAGGGGGGTGTTTTCCTCAGCTGCTTCTGAATATTATTGTTCCCCAGAGCTTTCAATCCCTTTTGGCTTTGTAACAATTCCTGCATATTTCCATCAAGGTGGTCTTCCTTACTCTCTACATACATCAACCATCTCCAGGACATCAGATTACTCCTCCCTTGAGGACACTCAGTGATTTTCTCCACCCAAAACACTTTAGAAAAAGGTTCCAGAGGGGGATTAGGGTCCCACACGACCCACAAAGCTGCTATCGTATCGTTATCATGTCTTGCTAGCCTTCCCCAGGGTGCCGAGTTCCATCAAGGAACTTGCATAGGCGGCTTTGGGGATTTGAGGGATGTGGCCTTGATCTCTGCAAGCTTCAGCTGCATTTCCACTGTAAACCAGATGGACCAGGGAGTGAGCAAACCCTTCCAAAGAGAGTCAGACGGGACCTAGGAGTGGACACCAAGACTTCAGAAGCCCAGTACTGAATCCTCTTTCGGGAACAGTACAAGGTACTGTACAAAGGAGATGCCAACCACAGTATCCAGCGTTTGCCCAGAGCAGTGTTTCTCAACCTTGGGAACTTTAAGACGTGTGGACCTCAACTCCAACTGCTGGCTGGAGAATTCTGGGAGTTGAGTCCACACGTCTTAAAGTTCCCAAGGTTGAGAAACGCTGGTCCAGAGGATCTGTCCAAACTCCTGAGCATTTCTCCAACCTTTTGGCAGCTCGAAGCCCCCCTCAGCCTGGAGGATCCAGGCAACCGAGGGTCGCTGAAGATGTTCTCCCCCACCCAAATTCCCAAGATGTTGCCCTGTGGCCAGTTTTTAGCCTGGAACAGTCGGTTCCTGCAAGAGACAGTGGTTTGCTGCCAACCTGTCCAACCTTCGCGCTCTCTTCTGCTCTTTTCTTGCCATGAGAAAAAGAGCTGAACCTGCAAGACACGCTTGGATGCCGGACAAGAACAATGAGGGGATGTGAGAAACAGCAGGAAGTGGAAGAGCACCAGCAGGACGATGGGGTTTGAACGGAACGGCACTTCCCCTCCCAGACATTCCACAAATACCAAGGGGTGAGATGTGCTGGACCAAGACTGGGATGCTGGATCCTGGCTCCCTGATGATGGCGATGTTCCTGTCCCGTTCTACCTGCAAGAGCTTTACATGGCTGGCTGGGGAATTCTGGGAGTTGAAACCCACACATCTTAAAGTTCCCAAGGTTGAGAAACACTGTTCTAGCTGGTCGAGTGGCTGAATGTCTACTCTCTGGATGGGCGCAGATGCAAAAAATGCAACACCATCTCTCAAGTTAGCACACACCAGCATAGCTCAATTTTTGAGGTGGAGGCTTGGAATTTGTTGGTAGGGAGCCCTGTGCTCTTCCACGGAGTCACAATTCTTAGTGCAACTTTTAAAAAGGGGGGGGAATCTGTTGTTTCAACTATGGATGGAGGCAAGCCAGCAAAAAATCATCAGAGTGAAAAACAACTTGAGAGAGAGAAAAATTAAAAAGCCCACTTGCCGTGCCCCAAAAACGCCTGGAAAAGGCCATCTGATTGATGGAGTGGGGAGGAGAGGAGGACAGAACGGGGTCTCCTGGAAAAGGACGTAACTGCCCAGCTGCTGCACGAGCTCCCTCGTTCTGTCAAACGGCCCTTGCGCTAATCTGGGAAGGGGCAGGGTGGACCTTCCGCAGCAGCAGAGAGAGAGCAGCGCCTGACTTACAAACACTTCCATGGCGGGCGGGGGGGAGAGAGGAGAAAAGTCGTTTTGGGTTCATTTCTTCACTTCTTCATTTAGCATCTCTGCTGAGCTGGCCTCCCATATTCGAGACAGCAGCGTGCTTACTCTACGCCCCAAGGCTTCCATGGGAACCGGCCCCCACCGCTTCCACGAACTTGCAAGCAGCCAGCCAAACTCAGAGGCTGAAAAGGAATACTTGAAATCCCGTTCTCTTGGTCAGTGCATCCAGTTACCTTCCCACCGCGCCCCTCAATAAGGGGGTGGTCCTTATTTGCCTGCAAACGGGGTGGGGAGGGTCTCCTAGCTTGCATTAAGCCACCTGAGAACCTAAACTGTCGAACGGTCCACCACAAGCTTTGCACGACCTGGGCAAATCTGCAAATGCCAGGCCAGCTTTGTCAAACCGGAGCAGCCAAGCTGAAAGAATTTGCTCAATTTAGAACAATATTTTCCAGCCATACCAATCAAATTATTGCTGACTGTCTATGGCTAGGAAAAACACTGACAACTGATGTTGCATTAAAGGGTGCATCCTTGCTTTCTGAGGTTTGTATTCACGGCAGCTGGAGAGAAGGGGGGTTCTAACGTTAAAAAAAGCGATCACGGCAGACGCATTTCTGCAATTCTTCAATTGACTGAAAGAGAAGCGGCTTTCTCATTTTCTTTCAGTAACGGGAGTTCTTGCATTTCTTTCGTTATGAAGTTGCTGGGGTGCTGCTACTGTGCTGTGGAGTCTCTCTGAGCTGGGTGGTTTCTTGCAAATGTTTCGTTACCCAGCTACGTAACCTCTTCAGTGCTAAAATGGGATGGGGTTTGCTCTCCGTTTATACACTGTGGCACGAACGTTTGCAAGAAAACCACCCAGCTCAGAGAACCCCGAGGACTCCACGGTTCAACCGTGAGCTACACATCTTCGCTTCTGTTGGTACTGTGCTATCATCTGTCCTGCTGTTTGCAGACTTCCTGGTTTCCCACCTTTCAATCCCCAAAGAAGACCTAATGAGGGAATTTCTCTCAAAGAGGCTTCAGCAGATGGAAAGATGACCAAGGTAAAAGAGCAGCGGCCTCCAGCGATCCGGAAACTCCAAAACCCTCCCGGGGGAAATGCAACAGAAATTCTCAAGCATCCTGAGCAGGAGGCAGAAAAACAGAAGCGGGGAAGGCAAGCCTGTGGGACACGCAAGACAGATTTGGGCATTTGTAACCCATTACTATGGAGGGAATGGCAGGGTCGGTTTATGAGAAGAATCCGACACGTGCAAGGGTGCTGTTGGGTGAAACCCAGAAAGGAAATAGCGCACATGCATTGCTTGGCCCATCTGGGAACACTGCTAATTCCCAGGAACTCCGTGACTGAGGAGACAGCTGGGGGGGAGACAAAGATAATCCCCCCCCCCTTTCTTATTCTTTTCATCTCTTTTCCTGCAATTGCTACAGCTGGACAGCACGCAAGCACGCAGGCTCCTCTCAAAACAAAACTTTCCCCGAGCACTTTATCCACGCTTAAATTATTAATACCCCAAAGAGGCATTCTTCGGCTCTTTTATCTCATTTGTCTTGGCATCAATTAATTGATCAATTATTGATTCCACCATTAATGCGCAAATGTGCCTCGACCCTCCTTTGGCTGTTGGCAGACATTGCCCCTGAATAATGCATGTTTGGGGGAGGCCCCTTTTTTTCTTCCCCCAAGCTTTCGTTCAGCCCGAGCGTTAGCCCGGACGGCGAAGCGGGTCAGAACACGGGCGCCCCTAATTCCCAGAGAAGCAGGCTTTTCCTCTTCTCCTTGCGCCGCTGTGGCTCCGAGAGGGACGTCAGGGTCGCATGCGTCACCGCCCCAGCGTCCCACAACTGCAGCGTCACGGGGCCCGAAGGCATCTCCGAGGTCCTCTCGTCCAGCCCCTGCGCCACGCCAAGCTCTGCAGGTTGATGGCCCTAAAAATCCCCTCCAAACAGCAGGAATTAAAGATCTGCGGAGGATCCCGACGCATTGGGTCTGCCCACGAACTGTTCACATTTAACTATCCTGACCCAACGCTCTGAGCCAGGTCAAGTACAGACCTAGCTACCCCAAGCTTGCATATTTTTTTGCTTGAGCCCCAGGCACTGGGGGCGGGGGGGGGTCGAAAAAAGTCAAGACGACAGCGGCAGCTATGCCACAACCACATGCCCGCCCCGTCACCTTGACCTTGTTGGCCCCTCCGCCCCCACAGACTGGGTTAGGATGGGGTTTGGTGTGTCTGTGGTTAGTATGTAATACAACAATTGTGGTTATTTCAGCTGTAGCACCTTCTGCCAAACCAGGAAAGGGATTAATCCGAAGACTTGCACGGGTAGAAGGGAAGGAAGGAACACCCCAAATGCCACAGCAGATATTCAACAGGTGTGTTCTTGGCCCGCATTTGGGGGCATCTTTAAATTGTCAAAGGAGACTTGTTTTTTTTTTTAATTTAATGTTTTTACTTGTGAGCTGCCCAGAATCACTGGGAGCTGGACAGCATACAAATTAAATAAATACATAAATGAAAGGAATTTGATGTTTTCTCGTGGCCCTGGTTTAATAATATGTTAAAG